CGCGGGCGGGCTGCGCGGAGGGAGGCGGCGCCCGCAGGCGCGGCCGCGCCGAGGCCGGGGCCGGGGCCGGCTCCGCCATGGGCAAGAAGCGAGGCGGGCAGAGCGTGGCGTGCGCGGTGAGAGTGGCGGGGCAGCGCCTTGGGGGGTGACGGTGCTCTTGGGCGGGCTGCTTATGGGTGGCTGAGGAGTGGGGTGTCTCTGCGGTGGGCCTGTCCTGGGATGGGGTGGCCGAGCTCTGGGGTGAGGTGTTACGGGGTGGCCGTGCCGTGGGGCAGGGCCGTGGGGCGCTGCCCGGCTCTCTGCTGCGGGTTCAGCCCAGCTGCAGCCCCGGCGTGTCGGGTCCCTCGGGGGCTCTGCTCCTGCCGCCTCTCCTGCGCGTGGGAGGCGCCGCGCGGGGCTTAGCTGGCGCCGCGGCCCCTGTGCTCCTCTCGCTGAAATTCCCGGTTASGAGGCCGCACTGTGCAGGTCTAATAAAGCGTCTTTATTAGACCTGCACAGGCGCAGGGCATCCCTCCCGGCGAGGAGCTCCCTGACAGGGAGCCAGGCGCCACAGCTGGGTCTGCTCTGCGACTGCCGCGGGCCTGCGCTGTTCCCGATGGGAAGCAGCTGCCCTGGCCTCCCTCCGGGATGCATTGGCTTCCCTGGAGAAGGGCCGGCTCCCGAATCCCAAGCCTCAAACAGTGCGATCCCATGTGCTGCCTTTGCATCAAAATAAAATAAAATAAAATAAATAAAATAAAACAAAATAAAATAAAATAAAGGGGCATGGGATGGAGGGACTGCCAGGYCACCGCAGGAAGGGAGGAGACCCATGCTCCTTCTGAAGCTGGGCTGAGCGCTGCCCCTGGGTGTTCCGCAGTCYCCGGACTGCTGCCCTGGCACGTTGCATTTAGCAAACGGGCTGCCTCCGTTAAGGTCTCTCTGAAGCAGGCGCCGTTCTGGCTCCTGCCCGGACTGGTGCTACCTTGACTGTCGTAGAGGAGGCAGGGGAGAGCCCACGTGCAGSTCTGCAGGTTGTAAACACAGGGAGAGCAAAGCCACAACCCATCCAATAAACGGCAGAAATGAGGCAGAACCCATCCAGTGACCTTGTTGGTTCCCTCTCTATCCCTAAGTCTTTTGGGTAAACTTACATGAAACAGCCAGAAAGGCTGGGAGAAGGACCTGCCACATATGCTTCACGTGCTGCGAATGAGAAATGTGAATGTCTCATTGTGCCATGTGATGGTAKTGCTGTGCTCCACTTCGTCTGGTTAGGCCTTCGCTGGAGAAGAGAGACATTTCTGGGCACTCTAACCTAAATGGAGCAGCCAAAAGGAGCCCAGAGGGGAGAACAGTCAAGGAGAGATGAGATGCTGCTGTCCAAAAAGAGAAGTGATCTCAGCCGTGAGTCCTTCCCTGAGGCCTCCTGATCACCCAAATGAAGCAGGACTGGGTTTAGCTGCCATAGAAAATTATTACAATATATTGGGGACTTTGGGTATCTTTAGTTTTTTTAAAGTTGTCATGATACAAGTAGCATTTGAAAGGGCCGTAGAACTTTTCTCCTTGGGGGTGTTCTAGGTGAAAGTTTAACCCCTGTGCAAAATTACTACTAGAAGATAAAATCATTTTGCTAGTAGAGAAGAGGAAATTGTGAAGGAAGAAAACGTTAAGCCAGAAGGAAAAAAAATCTTTATTTTAGGTGTATCTGGTGTCAGAATGCTTGACAACTGTGATACTGATTTCATAATTTAAGCCTTCATTCAGTTTTTATTACTTTCTGAGCTGTTATGGTTGCAAAGAAAACCTTCCAAATGAGTGTTAATATGATGTGATGCATGATTGTCTCTGAGAGGCCTATTCCAGACAGTGTCATGCTTGTTTAAAGTCATGATGCTAAATGAATGCAATTTTCTACATGGACACTTATGTCTGTTTAAATCTGCATATCAGATGAGCTGGCACTTACAAATTACAGCTGCAATTAATGTGGCCTAGATTGAATGGATGTAAATGTATCTCGGTTCTGCGGTGCTGGTTTAAGCTTAAGCCACTTGCTTTGTATAGCTTTGATGTCAGTGGGGCCACGTGTCAGAAGACAACACTGAATTGCCCGGGTCCTCCTGGATGGACTCCATCAGAATGACAGTAGTGAGACCCGGGTCACTTCTGCAGCCATGTCATAAAACTGGGAAGGTCTTGGGGAGAGAGACAAGGATGATCAAAGGTGTGGGCAACTTGGGCAAGAAATGATGAAGTTGGGAATGTTCCTGTAAGCTTTAAGACAAATGACAAAAGGGGGATCTCATAAAATCACTGCTTGTGATTTTAAACAACAACAATGTTCATAGTYTCCTCAATACAAAAATCCATCCAATGCAAGTAGCAGGTGCAAACCCAAGGCACCATTCTCGTGCAAACCTTCCTGTAACTTTAGACTGGGATATGAAACTCCTTGCCATGGGATGTTGTAGCCTGTAAGATGGCTACTTGGGCTTAGGCAGCAGCCAAACTTGTTAATGGCAAAGACAAAAGCAGGGTTATTAAATACAATGAAAAAACCTTGTCCACAGGCAAGTGCCACATGTGCGTTTGTGCAGGAACTGTTTCATGTGTTAGACTGATTTTAATAATCCAGACAAATTTGTGGATGTAAGAACCAGTAATTCCCTTGTGCAAAGAACTACTCAAGTGTCCTGGCAGASGACGGGCATGAGGACAGTGCTCAGCAAAGGCTTTAGTTTTTTTTTCTTAGCCTCGACCTCTCCAGTTGGATTTGATCTGATTTATGTGAGGGTCAGAAGACGACAACATCATTACCTAGCGCTGCTGGATGGCAATGTATGTGTGATGTGGCGCTTTGCCAGCATCTTAATTAGGAAATTCATGAAAGCAGAGGGAAGAGCTAGTTCTCAAAAAGTGCTTTTAGCCTTCCTGCTGAAAAGAAAGCTTTTATTAATTCATTGCAAAATGAATTAGGAGGGATCCAGCTCAACTCTGTAAGCAAAGCTCCCTGCCTCCCTCTGTGCTGGCCCTTTTAGACTTGCACTCCCAGGAGGGTCCCAACAAATGAGATTTGTAATAAACATGCAAGTTAGTTTGGGCTGAAAGCTGCTCTGTGTGATGCTGGTTTGGAGAGTCTCCAGATTCTGTGGGAATATAGTCAGAATTCAGTGCAAATGATGCTGCGCCTAGTGATGCCTTTGGAGCGGTAGGAGGGGAGCTGTGYGTTAGCTGTGTCCCAGGGAATTTCTTTGGTGTTTGGTCTCCACTTTACTCACAGCTGTGCTGAGACTGCCATTACAAAGGCATGTCCGTGTGAAGGGCAGTGGTGGTTCAGCATCCCGCTGCAGAGCTCAGCTCTTCCTTTTCACACAGACCTCAGACAGGCCTAGGTTTACACCCCAGCTAACCTCTTGGTGCATTTGTCAGCCTGAGSAAGAGGTTTCCTTCCACCCACGGAAAGCTCAGGTGTGCAGCTGCACCTAGGATTGCCCTCTCGTGCGGAGCTGCCCCTGGAGATTGTGCCAAAGCCTCCCAGGTTCCCCCATGTGACAGCTTCACAGCCCGGGGGGCTTCTAGGCGAGTCCTTGGCAGCCCCAAGCAGCAGCAGTTCTCAGACAGGTTGCTCTGATTTCTCCCCTGTGTTTATTAACCCTTCTCTGTTTCCTTTTGCCTTGAAGTGCTGCTTGGATGGCTTAGCTGATGAGAGACTCCGAGCATGCAGGAGCAGATCCCAACTCCAAGTGAGGCAATAGCACTGGCATCAAGACACTGCTCTGCCCATAATTTGGGCTATATTTTGGGCTGGGGCTGTATGTTCTTATATGATTAGTCCCATTAAATCCCTGCTGGAAGCAGGTGTGAAAAACAAAGTTTTCCTTGCGATGCCTACGCTCTGCTTGCAGACAGATAAGAGCAATGATTCCTAGAAGTGTTGGGCCACAGCAGGATTTCCTCTTGTGCAGCAGCTCCCCACACTCGAGCAAGTAGATCAGTTCTGTTGTATTTATCCGGAATTACCTCTTCTGTGTCCCATCGGAAGATACTGCAGTGTGCGTGGGGGGAAATAACCTGCCAGGAGGAAAGCCAGTTCCTCTATGCTGGTGGCACCAGGTTGCAGCCAAAACTTGGTGCGGGCTGGAGGTGTGTGAGCAGGGCAGAAGCCAGTGTGCAGTTCTCAGGGATTTGTTGGACCTTCCTGTACAGCTCAGCGTTGTCTGCACGTAGCTCTCTGTGATCATTCAGCTCTGCAGGCCCTGCAGAGTTAGCCATGGAGGCGGGAGGTGGAGAGGCTGGGCGTCCTTCCCTTCGGAGCAGGGGCAGCCCCGTGGTGGTTGGGAGAAGCAGCGAGTGACTGCTGTGTTTTGCAGATCGACGGGCTGGAGGAGAAGCTGGCGCTGTGCAGGCAGAGCATGGAGGAGGTGGATCTGAGACTGCGCCGGGAGCAGCTCAGCCCCGAGGGCAGGTACTGCAGGGCGCTGGGGCTGCGGCCCGCGGCAGCTCTTGGAGGGGCTGCTCTCCCTTATCGAGGCTGCCTTCCCTCAGCTTAGTGCTCCGTGCGGGAACTGAACCCGTGGGAGAAGTTCAGGGATACAGGGATGGAGCTGACCTGAGCCTCTCAGACCTGCAGCGTATGTGGCCAGGCACTGTATGGACCTCCACGTTTATCCGCACGCTGGCTCCTGGCCTCCTAGAAAACAGCTCTGTCCAACTGTGGTACTCAGAGCAGAGAATTGSGATTGGGAATTCCTTGGGTCTTTTCTGATTTTCACAGCCTGCATGYAGGTGGAAAGAGAAATGCTGTTGCCATAATTCCGATTCCCAAGCCATGGAAGAAAGTCCTTGTCCCCTCATCAGAATCATTGATCCAGGAAGTACTACACAGAGGAAAGATCTGCTTTTGCACTGTGAAGTTAATCACATTTTCTTCCTTGCTTTCCGCCACCCCAAAGCCTACCCCACTTTCCCTTGACTTGCTTCCAAAAGCAATTTTCTAAGTAGCATTTCAGCGACGCTGGCAGATCTCTCTTCTCACTTCCTCGGAGCCAGCTCTCTGCCTTTCTTTTCCCAGAGTAGTCTCTAAGAGCCCTTCTTTCCTATCCTGCTGCTAATGTATCCGGCTTTCCCTGCTGCCTGTCACTTAACCAGCTGTACACTTAGGTTTGGATCTCTTCCTCTTACAGCTTCTTGCTTTACCCCAAGGGGTACAACAAACTCCATTACACTTACTGTCTTCCCTGTTGTAATACCACTGTCTGCTCTGAAAAGGGAGCTAATTTGTTAGTGCATATTTATTTATGTGCACACAGTCTGAAAGGAGTGGCAGTGTTCTCATTGCTGTAGTGGAAATGCCGCTGCTTTCAGGCAATTTGTTTCGCTTTTATATTTTAAACTGTGTATTAATTAATCATCTTGTGCAGCTGAAGACAGGCTGGGTAGGTGGTGGTGTTGGCCTGATTTACTTGTTATCCTGAATTTTTTGTCAGGTAGCAGCTTAACTGTTCTGTTAGTGGGTCCGGGTACAGCTCATCTCCCCAGGTGGTGGAATTTATATGAAGCAGGTATCCCTGAGAAAGGCATCTCAGCCCCAGGGGCTCAGAAGAGCTACAGTCCTTCAGCACTAAGCCAAGCTGTGCGGAGGGGCAGGATCCAGCAGAGAGCACCTGTGCACCCTGCCCTGTTTCGTGTCTACTGCAGAGCTGCTTATTCCACCCTGGAGAGCASGGGAGGGGGATCTCACAGACCCTTTGAGCCCATGTGCATGCAGTGACACAGGCCTGAAATGAGACACGCAGCCTTTTCCTTCCCGAAAGCCCTGTCATTTAACTACCACCTCTCTCGTTCAGATGGGGCTTTCCAAACTATCACCCATTTGCAAGGGTCGGGGGGCTCATTCATTCTCTTTTCCATCACACAAGCAGAGAAGTAGGCTGTGTTGTGCCTTGCAGGTAATAAAACTCTTCTCATTACAGAAAATCACTGGAGAGAGAGAAAAATTTACTAATGACCAAAGCTGACAACTATGGTAAGAGCTTCATTAAAAACGGTCCCTCTGGGCTGGATGGGATCAGTGCTGCAGCTCAGCTTCCCCTTCAAGCTCCTGCTACCTCCAACTTCTGCCTTTGAATTTGGACTCAGCCAAACAGGGTACAGCTGTGAAATCTGGCCAGCATTTTGTGAAAGAAATCCAGACACCTCTTGAGCTGGAAAAAGTAACTGGCATCAGCCAGGGGAGGGGGAGGGCAGGGATAAGAGGTCTYGCTGTCTACTTCCTGCTTCCCATAAACATCAGCTTCTAATACTGATCCCAAGAGACCTGCCCCTAGCTTAGAGTAGCCTTGATCCTGCAAGATAGCTTTGAAAGGAGAAATGAGCTTGTGTGCCAGCAGAGTTTTGTCTCTTTCACAGAAAAGGAACTGAGGGTGCTTCGCAAGGAAAATCGCAAGAACGCTGCCTTCGCYGTGGCCATGGGGCTGCTGATTGCTCTTATTTATGCCTGCTGGACAATGTGACTGCACTCCTGGATTCTCCCTGCTGACTGCCCAGCTCTCCTGCAAGGAGCTCTCCTCTCACCAGCAGTGCCTCCCTCCCATTTCACAGTGCTGATCTCATTTAGCCTCCCTAAGCCTCATTGTGGGGATGCTYTCTCTCCAAGAGCTGGGGGGCTGGGAAGCAAACGAGAAATCAAAACACACTTGTGAAAAGAAAGGAGGTCAAGCAGGGTTCCAGGTAGGGCCCTTTTACCCAATATGCAGTCAAGGCCCTCTTGGCTGGTACAGAAACGACCTCTCCMGGCTGCAGACAAGTGCTTTCGGGGCCACTTCCTTGGTTGCTGCATCTCAGCAACAGGCTGAAGAGACCAAGCGCTCTGAAAGGGAAGCCTGGGAATTGTGCACTCAAAGACACAAACAGCCCCTGAGCTGATGCTAAGTAAAATCCTTCCTCGGAAGGACAGACAGACAGGACCAGAGGAATCCTTCCTCCACAAAATCAGGTGGGATGTGAGCATCTCTCTCGCTGCAAGCAAGAAGCAGCCAACTTGAGATCTGGTGCTTGGACTATGAAAGATCTGCCTACCTCTCTTGTACCTGAGTTTGTTAACCGTTCTGTGCCTCTGAGGATCAGCATTTGTCTAGAGGAGTTTGCTATCACCTTCCAGGCATGGAAGTGCCTCTGTAGGGGTTTAAATAAAGCAAYTGGACATGGCAGCTTCCACCTTTTCTTTTTTCTCCCCTCCCCTGCACATTTTGTTAGCAGGCCTCTCTCATCCACTCTTCTGCTCCATTCTTGTGCTAGCAACCCCTGCCAGCCTGCCGCCCACCCCAGCAAGCCCAGGGCAGGACAGMGGCTGCCGACACTGTCCTGCATTCCCCTCATTCTCATCTAGTGGCACACGAAGGAGAGCCCCGGGGGAGGAAGCTCCCACTCAGGAAAGCCTTTAGAAGAAAGGACTGTCTTTAAAATTTAACTATGCACGGCCTTTCTGACACAAAGTGCTGGCTAGAAACCTATGGGAAACACAGTAAACAAGCACCTTTGTGAATGAAAGGGGCTGTATTGATAGGAGAGATAGAGAAAGCAGAAAAGTCAACACAAAATGGTACATGGCCAATACATTGTGCAATTAATGTACATAAACATTGCCCTCAGCAGGACCTTTCTCAATCCCCTTCTCAGCATGTGCCCTCCATCCTCAACCTGCAGCAGGGAAGCAAGTAGCTTGGGGGCWCATGCTGCCTTCTTGAAAGGGAGTTAAGGTTCCATGCATGAAAAAAAGAAAATTAAAAATAAAAGCAAATTAGGATTAAGTGGAACTAGAGACAAGAGGGGAAACAGGAAGCATCTGTTCTTAAAAGCTAGCCTGCAGGCAAACCAGGCTTCTTTTGTGCCCTCCAAAGCCCACACTTACCTTCCCTAGTTACCTTCCTGTCTGTCAGCCCAGAGGGGAGATCCAGCTGCCAACAGCCCATGCCAGCTTCTGTGCTGCTCCCACAGGGAGCCAGGGGTTGTGGTTCTGCAGGGCCAACACCTGTATGTGAATGTCCCTAGTGCATGGAACTGCAGCAGCTAAACTCCCTTATGCCAAACAGGTAGCGAACTAACACACAGGTACCTGGACACAATTTGCTTGTGAAGACATGGAGGTGCTCCAGGACRGGCAAGCAGAGCCCCCTCACACTGACAGGGTGATGTTCAGTGCATGCAGAGTCTGCACAAAACCTATGCACGACGCTGGGCCTTAGCAGAGTGGAGCTGGGACYTTATACCACGGTCCTTGTTCTGGCCTCTTTGTGAGGGGTGCAGTGCCACCCATGCACCTGCACTCCTGCACGAGCCAAACTTTCCTTGCCTCGTTACAGTCTACTTGTTCAAATCCTACATGCAGGGATGGGGAGACAGAAATAAGAATCTAAACTGCTATACTTTGGGGGAGAACTATAGTTTTCTTTAAGGCACAGTTCAGGCAACCCCTAGATAAGTTTCCTGCCTACTGCCAGCCTGTGTTTAAAGAAAATTATTATTAAAAAAAAAAAAAAAAAAAAGCGCGCAACTTTGCTGCCTGGCCAAAAGCAGNAAAATTATTATTAAAAAAAAAAAAAAAAAAAAAAGCGCGCAACTTTGCTGCCTGGCCAAAAGCAGCCAACCATGTGTTATCTTCGGATTCATATGGAAGACCTGGCAAAAGCCCCTGGAAGCCAGAAGTAAAGGACAAACATGCAGTAGCCGAGCCCAGAGGCGCGTGGAGCAGCTGCCGCGCTGTCGGGCTGGGTGGCAGCTCTGGGCCTCCACGAGCCGGGCGCAGCTCCAGGGTCGSATCAACACAGAGGGCATCACAGACCACTCGGGCATTTAAAAAGAAAAGTCTAATATCTTTTCCAGTGGATACACTCAGGTGTTGGGATTTCTTCTGAATAACCAACATGGTCAAAGTCAAGATCTCACTTAACAAAGACCCAGGGCTTTGATGAAAGTCAGATGTTTCCATAATCTCTTCTCAAAGACCTCCAGCGTCACAAACTTYGTGTCTTCCCTCATTCCTCTGCTTTCCTCCCTGAAGGAATGGGTAACAGTACCAAGAACCAAGAGCAAAAATCAAAGCACCTTGGTCTCAGAAATACCATGAGGCATAGACACRTTCATAAATTAATACCAGGCTGGTGGCTCAGAGTCAGTCTTAGACTCGAAGAGGAGAAATCCTTGTCACAGCAGCTTCTAGAGATGTGAGAAAACCCTGGTAGTCTACACATCAAAACCATGCCAGGAACTCTCCTCTTACCCTCTGGTTTGGCTTTTGTTCACCAGGATACCGTCACATAGGATTGGCCAGTGGTCAGCGTAGCGTCTTGACAGCACAAGTGCAGGAGACACCAGCAAGAATAAATACTCATGTCCAAAAGCTAGAGTCCCTTAATGAGTTATACCCACCGTTGGGTAGCAAAGGCCCTTGACAAGGCCAAGGCTACAGACAGGAACAACGTGGGGTTGCTCGACTGTGCTGTTCCCCAGCTCTGTCRCCATCCTCCGCTCCTTCCCACACTGCCAAGGAAGCGTGTGCCACCTCCAGAGAGTTGTGGCACACACAGAGCTCCACAAATCTAGCTGAACWGGGACAAGGAGAGCTGCCAGCCCCTTGGCCTCATGCATGCAGCACGTCAGGGCAAAAGGGCATTAGGCCTTGGCTCCAGGACTCTCCATGGGTACTCCCGCAGCAGGTACTACCTGGGCCACACACTGTCATCCCAGGCTGCAGCCTTGTCCTATGCTTTTGCATATCACCCCTGGTTAGATCAGCTCCAGGAAATGAGCTCTGGAGMAGACCAGGGAGAGAAGTTGTGGAATCTTCCCAATCCAGCCAGTCCCGAAGAATCCAAGCAAGGCTCAGCACTCCCCTTGGCACCTCCCGAGTGCATGGGTCAGTGGTAGTGCGCTTGGATGAAAGACAGGACATCCTCCTTTGAGAGCTTCTCTGGATCTTGCCTTTTCTGAGAGTCGTGCACTTTGACACCTTCCCCCCACTCCCAGAGGAGACGGCTGTAATGGCAGACACTGTGGGCAGAGAAAAGAGCAAGATTAGCACAGCAAAGGGAAGGGAAAAACAGTTATCGTAGCCCCAAAGTGCACTACAAAGACAGCTGTCCTGGTGATGGGGAGTGCACAGAAAGAGTCTAAGGTGCACAGTAGAAGGCCAGTACATTCATTCATTGGTAAACTGTACAGCATGTAAAGTACAGACACTTCCAGGCCTAAGGGACTTCCATGGAAACAAACAAACGCCCTTCTAGATGGTCACTTCAGAATTTCCTGGAAGGAAACAGGTCCTTACAGAAAACCTAACTTCCCCAAAAAGTTTTCATCTGATCACTCACCCCAACCTGCTAAAGTCCAGCACTACCTGTTGTACCGAGCTCAGCACACGAACAGAACTTCACACTGCACAAAAGCATCTGGGATCACCCCTTCTCTCCCCAGGTGATCTAACCAAGCTGCACTCAGCTGAGGAGCCTTTGCTCCTGCAAGGCCACCTCTCACCCCATCCATCAAGCACAGCCTTCTGTCAGGGCATCAGCAGTCCCCACCACAATGAGAACAGAGCTGCTAGTTGCTGCTGACACAGCCAGCCTTTCCTTTTGTACAGCTATTGATACTTAATATTCACGCAGCTTATTTGGTGTTTTTGCGATTTTGAGCCTCTTCTGTTTAGCTCTTTWAGGAAGCTCATGGATTCCTAAGAACACTGCTGCACATTAGATAAGGAGATGTGAAGTGGGAGATCAGGAGCCCTGTTTCACACGAACATCTCTTTCAGAGGCATAATCAGGGTGGGAAGGAGGGAAGATATCTGGAGACCGCATGAGGCAAAGTGTCCAGAACATCTGCACCCATGAGCCCTGAGCTGTCAAACAGACTGAGAATTTGGTGTCCTTAGATGGCCTGGGCAGAACAAACAACAAGCTGCTTTCAGCAGCTACAGTCGTAATGACTGCCTAGTGACAATCCATTCCCGTTCTCTCCCAAGGAGATGTGCTACTGCCTTTCTCACTTTCTCATTAAGCAAATCCCAGCTAKCTATAACTTACTCCACAGCCTGGCCTAAATGAACTGGGATTTGCTTTTAAATTTGCAGTTTCCAAGCAAGCATCTTAAGATACTTTGCAGTTGCCAGATTCAGCTTCCATTTCTGTGGGTGCAGGGAGATTCAATAACTTACTGCAGACAGAGAACTGAAAACAGAAATGCAAGATGTGAGCACGTGTGTTAATCATAGCTATCAATGCACCACAAAACAGCAGTGCCCTAAAACTCCAAAAACCATTCCAGTTTCTGCAGCACACCCTGCTGGCAATCAAGCTGGGTTTGCACTACAAGTGACTACGAACAGAGTACAACCAGCCTGGATTCCCCTCCGAGTCCCCCAGAAATAAGGTCTAGGGAAGCACCAAGAGTCAGAACTTTCTCCATCACTTGACATCACTACCTAAAGAGCTAAGCAGTGGCCTGCTGGAGAGAACAGGGGCTGCACAAACCCTTGTGCAGTCCTTCCATAGTCTCAGCTCTGGCAAATACCAAGGCTTGTACTCACTGAAAGGGTGCAATGGAATCAGAAGGGGTATCGTATATTGAAGTCTTGGTTATCCTGTTGAAGAAGAACTTCCTCATGGTTTTTTTGCTGTATGCCATTGTCCAGGGATCTTGGGGGAAAAAAGTCATAGGGACAAGACAGAGAATGAAATGGGAGAAAGCGCACAACATAAACCTATCTAGTGAAAGCAGGGAGGAGCAATCTCTAAGAATATATTGCGGTCCCTCTCCCTTACTCCTTTTCCCTTCCCTCCCTACCAAACAGCCTGTTTTGCAAGCTGTTGTAAATTCACTGAGAAAATCCTCTACTCTCTGCATTTAAAAATGGCAATTTTAAGTTGGATATTTCTATGTTTATGTACTATTAATTTGGAAAATACCTTCTTAGGAAAGAATATGAACTCAAAAGAAATATCATCAGTCATGTAAACAAGTGGAACTGCCCACACAGTAAGTACTAATCAAATCACAACAGAAAAACTTATCACAAAAAAAACCCTACATCTTATCCCAACCCAAGCTACCCTCTTTTCAAATAGTTATAACCAGTCTCTAACTACTCTCATTCATTTGCCTCCCATTTCTAAAATTAATTTTTACCAAGTTAAACAAGAACAACCCTGTTCACTACTTTTCACTTGAAGATAAGGAGATAAGGAAAATGAGAGCAGGAGACTCTCTCTTCCTACCATTCACAGTCCGTACAATGTAGAGTCCCGTGGGCACAAAGTAGCGGTCGTCTCGGCCCGTGTAGGAAAGCCGGGGTATTCCCCCAGAATTCTTGATGATTTTCATCTCTAACCTGAGGTTGGGAAAGGTAATGACAGACACTGCCAAATGCAGCATCTCTTGTTTCTTCCTTCACTGTCCTCTTGCACACAAMATGCACCTGTACGTCCTCTCTAGAGCACCAGAGTGACAACTGACAGCACTGCACACGACAGGGCAAATTAATGCATCTCTGGAGAATTCAGCCTCTTGCCTCACCATGTACTAGAAAAACAGGCAGAAATCTCCATACAGATGGTGAGACAAGTGCTGGAATGAAGGATCTGTGATGACCTACCACACTTAATGCAAACGAGACTGCCATTTCAGGTATAAACTCAATCCTTCAAGCTGCTTGCACTCCTGTACACAAACGCAAGTGAAGCCGTCTTCTTTCGCATGTCAAGGGAACAGGCAAAGGATCCCAGGGGACAGGAGCTAAAGACAACACTGCTTCTACTCCTGTTAAGCACACTGGTCTCAGCTGTGCACTAGAATCCAGCAGGATGATTCTCTGCATGAGCAGCACTCCAAACCCAGCAGCTATCAGCTGTAAGAACTTCTCCTTCAGGGATCCACAAGCRTGTCCCTCCCATTCCCGTGCTGCCACACACTGTGGCTTCAGCACAACCTGAAGTGCCTCCCTTATGCTGGTCACTTACCTCACAAAAATCTTCTCCATCTCCTCCAGCCTGTACACTTCCTTCACTCTGGAGAAGACAAAAGTATGATGAAACATGGTTAAAAAATCTGAAATGCCGTCTTTTCTTGCCCAGATACTGAGAACAGCCAAACAATACATTTTGTACAGCATAAAGTGCTTGAGCTTGACTAAGATTCTCCTTCTTATGCCCCAGTGGTTTTGTTTCTCCTGGCTTGGGAAAACCTACACCTGCATACTCACAGTTGGATTGCTTAGGTAGTACACAAAAGTCCTCACTGCTAAAGCAGCTGGGTATTCTTACCTCAGGGTAAGTATACAGAACAGGGAAAGCCAATCATTGCTGCTTTCTCACAAGGTAAATCCACCAAGACTAGTCCCAGACAGAAGATACAGCTCTGGCTTTGGCACGCYGGCCTCAGTAGAACTAAAAAGCCTGACTTTTGCTGTGATTAGGCTCAGGGACACCTAACAACTCACAAGTAATCCTGAGGTAAATAGAGCTTTATTTGTTTTAATCATGAGGTAAGTTGGATTGTCATTCTACAATCGTGTCAATMTGCTTTTATTTTTATTGTTCTGAGACACACAAAAATAATTAGAAAATCTCAGGAGCACTGCCTCTGACCAGACATGCCAACCATCCATTTCCYCCACACATCTATGAGCACCAGGCTCCTAAGACATATTTGAACACAAGAGCAGCAAGAGGCCCCTTATTTAACCCATTTCTACAGCCCTCTTTCTCAAACCCCCTTTAGCCTTTCCCACTTTTCACTCACTTGGCTGTGACTGTACTGAGGTTGAGATCCTACTCATGACCTTAAGTCAYTAAGCAGAGGTTTCACTTTCCCTCCACTCCAGCCTATCTCATTGTATCATGGCATTTTTAGCTAGACTGACAGCTTTCTCAGACAAAAGCTATTTTGTACACATTATCTATCTGACATCCTCCATAGCGAGGCAAAATTAACAAGATGGAAAATCAGAAGGCAACCAAAGCTGAAGCCTCTGTCAGGAACTTTCTTGGGATTGTAAGTAAAGGCTTCTCCTCACATTAACCCTATGGAGATTGTAAGCAGTGGTGAACACTTCATTCCTCTACTAAAAACAATTAAGCTAACTGGGTGTTAGAGCTACTACAGCATTTATAGAGATCAGCACTGATAGAGGTCAGCACCAGCCACTGCAATGACTGCCTGATATCTGAAAAGAGGGGATGACGCCTCAAGAGGCGATGACTCCTCTTCTCTTTCTCTTCTTTAGCACTCTCCCAGTAAAGAAGCTGAAATTCACTATTCTGTTCTGAAGTCCAACTCCTTCAGCATTTCATCTTCATCCTTGAWCACACTGAGACCAAAGCAGCCCAGGCTGAGGGAAGGAAGAGTCACTCACCGAATGGGGTTCATATCTGGCCGGCTAGGTTTAGAAACAGCTTTGACAAACTTCTCAGCAAGCTGGATCCTAAACCAAAACAGAAAAAGCATACTGCAGTTTTTCTAGACCTTCRGGCATAACAGGTAGGTAATGGATCCAGCAAAACAACTGGTAAGACTTATTTCATAGAATCATTATAATTGGAAGAGACATTCAAGATGGAGTCCAATTGTAAGACAACCTCYTACACGCAGACAGACCAACTCCACCAGGAACTACAAGGGTACTGAACAACACCCTTCTCACCTTGCCCTCCCAGTTCAGTGCCCAGTGAAAATGGCTACTACTCAGTAAAAAACAAGTTTCCACAGCTCCTTCACACCCGCAACGTGCTGAACACATGCATGCACCAGCAGAGAAGCGAGACTGGCAGAGACAGTCACTGTCTGACTCTCACTGTCTGGTCACTGATGAAGGAAACAGAGAGGATACTCTCTCCACAGCCAGACACCAAATGCGTTCATTTCTAGGATGAACGGTTCACACAGACTACCCGGTTCAACCCAGATCCCAGAAAACTAGACCTGCCCTGATTCATGGAGAAGGTGCAGAAGCTCCACAAGAAAAAGGGTTCTCCAGAGCCTACATACCTGTGGTTGAAGTGCTGATTTCGAACATCATTGCCATTTAACACCAAGACATCCAGGATGTGGATGGCACTGATTTTTCGCTGAGCTTTCCCCTAGGAGGGCAATACAGAGACTTACTGCTCAGATTGCGTGTTGCTATTTCAGCTTTGTTTTGTAGTCTTTTTTTTTTTTTTTTTTTTTTTTTTTTTTTCAGCACATTGTTTTCTTCTAGTAAGAAAACACCTCTTCAGATACTCAGATACCAGAACAGCAAATTCCCTGCAGCCTGTGGTTCAGTAACATGCCATCCTTCAAGAACCACTATAGTTCATCTACACAGTTCCAGCACAGTTTCCAGGGAGGGAAAGGCAGCAGGGCCACAATTGCCTGCAGGTGCCATCACCAACTCTCATCAGGTACCACAGGGCAAACTTAAGTGCAGTGCAGCATTTTCACCTGAGGTGCCAGAGACAGTAAACACCCTGGCAGCAATGCTGAATGCTCCAGGGTCTTTTCCTAAAGCTTGAAATCAGTAGCTAGCAGTTACGCACCTAAAAAGTGACTGAACACATTAACTCTTGGTGACAATGCCACCTCCTGCTGCACATAAACGAAACTAAGTCATCTCCAAAGGGGCTTCAAAATTATGTTAAAAGATCATCTTTGCAGAAAGATATAAATAAGGGAACTTAATCCAAACTTGTTTCCTTAGAAATCATGCACAGAAAGTGTTGCACATTCACAGACAGAACATTTAGTCTGCAGTACCCTACAGAGAATGASTGAAACAATTTCTCAGACCCTTGGCAAAACAGAGAATAAATTCTTACCTCTCCTTTCAGCTCGTGAACAATCTCCACAGAGAGAAGAGTATCTCGTGGCAGTTCAGTTTTCAAGTCCAGCTTTGTCCAGCGATTTGACTGACGACCATCCCAGGTGTAGATCTGCGATTTCTGTGTGCAGAAAGCAGAGTTGTATTCAGCCAGGCCTGATGCAAAAGTGGAGAAGAGAGCTCCAAATTTAAAATGAAATTTAGAGCAGAATTTGCTTGTTCTAGGCTGTCAGAAGTAGTTCCTTTGTGGGAAATTTTAATGAAGAACCTTAATTTCTACAGCAAAGGAACAAAACTCTGATTCTGATCTGTCATCGACTTTTCATATTCAGAACTAGAAAGAGAGAATTTTTAAAAAGACAGTAAGAACTAGATGCTACTGAGCATACTGCTTTCCCTGTAGGCTGTGATTAGAAAAACAGGGTTAATTAGTGTGAAAAGCAGTGATGAGATGAATCTGCAAGGCAGAGCAATAGCAATGAAATGAAACAGTAAAACTCCCTGCTGAAAAGCCTGACTGTTTTCAGCACTTACCCCTAGCCCCAAGAGGAACTTCTGTTCACCTCCAGACACCATACACCGGTAATCTAACACTTGGCGGATCTTTTCCAGTGTACTGGAAGTAAGAGGAGTTGGTTTGTAACTGAAGATATCAATATCTGTGCCCTGAAGAGCAGAATATAGGAGAGGCAGGTTAGAACAGTCCATTAACAACCAAGTAAAATGGAATTTCTACATAAACTGACAATACTGGTCTAGCTCCTTCATCTCTCAAGGGGAAAGGTCTATTTGTATAAAAGGGTTCAGAACAACTTCCTGGGTAAGGTCTCACCTGAATCAGCTCAAAAAACTTGGACTTGGGATCTGAAGATGAAGGAGCAACACGGGCCTGATCAGGAATCTGTAGAAAAAAAAATCCAAAGGATTGATAGTAAGTTTTACATGTATGAACCTCCCTGGTTTCACAAGACAGTAGTGGCCTCAGTGATGCCCTCTGTCCCCTGCAACTGCTGCTCTCAGCACTCTGAGAGCACTCTGCAGGGAAAGGCCCAGCAATGCAGACCCACAAAGCCACTAGTTCCTGAGTTCGCCGTGTRTACAATGAAACATCCAGACTGCAGAGTAACAGAATCATCAGAAGGCTGCTCACTTAAGCAACATGGTGTTTACTTGCTGGGACAGCTTCAAGTGATCTCTCAAATTTTCCAGAGGACAATATTAAACACACCAAGCCCTTGTCTAGAAATTCCTGTCCATACTCCGGCCCCTTCCTTATTTCACCACAGCAAGAACACCTTTGCAGCTTCCCTGCTTAGCAGCCTACTTACCCCCCACAGCTGGAGACACTCCTTTCGGATTTCGGCCTGCCGTGGCTCCACCAGCGTCCTCGAGAGAAAGCCAGCACACAGTTAAAACAGTGAACCCCCCTGGTCTTGCGGTGCCAGCACAGCCCAGCCCTAGCCACGCGGCATCTTAAGAGTGTCTGCCTTGGCTAGACACATGCAGTGTTCCCCAACGRGTTACATTCAAAAGATGGTCTCCTCACCCCCACCAAGTCTAGTTTTGTTTTATGGTTTATTACCAACTAGTGGCCACCTTTCTATGCCAGGAATTTGCTACGGATACAACGTTTTCAGAGTGATATATTAGTACTTTAATCTTYAAGAGCTTGGAGGTTGCTACACGAACCTCCAAGAACAACGAAGTCTTTGCTGAAGGCCATACATAGAATGGTGTCAGTGTTAGGATTAACTCTTAGATGGCTCCCAGCTCGTTCAATTTTCTGCTACAGATTTTCTCTGAATGACACCCAAGCAGTAAGTCATGCTAGGGAAATGCTTACACACTGCATTGACTTAGGTAACTCCAGGTACATAACTTAGATGCTCCAAATTGCCCCTGGAAAATGAAAAGCTATGAAACACAGCTAACATAAGTGATTACAGTAGGATTGAGAATACCAATCAGGAGGTGCTTTTCTGCTCAGATTCCTGCAAAGAAGCAGGCCGACTTGTGGTAATCAGAAAGCATGCAGATGGATGGTATTAGACCATCAACTTTCAAGATCCCTTCAACTACCCACTTATTTAAGGGAGCAACTCAGAGAAACAAACTGACCTACCTAAAGCCACTATTAATCTCCCTGACTCTAAATGCTAAATCAAGTACCTTCTCAAACCAGAAACACATAACAAAGAACAAAGCAATTCGCTCATAGTAGGTTGAAGTCAACCCTCACCCAAAGCCAGAGGAATATACTCACGTGTCTTGAACAAAAGCACGAATTTTGGCTAGTGCCTTGATCTGGATTTTGCAGTGGCTGAAAGAGAGGACAATTTTCAGTTAGGGAACAAGCTAATCACAGCCAGGATTGTTTTCATGTTCAAAACAAAGAATAATGTTGGGTCACCAGAAAGTCTGGCTGATCCTCAAAGCAGCACTGGATTTCTATAGCCCAATATTAATTAAAGTGATGGAAGGTCACACTAAAGAATGAGGCAATGGCCTCCTTTCCATTCTGCACAAGAGGAAAGCACTCAGAGGCCAACCGATCACTAAAATATGAGGAATTTCTCACTGGCTCTGCTCTGCCAAGGGTTTTCTTTTAGGAGCAAAACCAGGGCCATCTAYCAGCAATCACCAAGCACTCCCAAGAGCATAAGCATCACAAGTGAGGGCCACGTTGGCTGACCTGCTACAGCCAGGAGTCCTACTTGCCCTTGGACACTCACTTCTCATTAGAATGGACAATGTAATTATAGAAATCCTGGTCGCCTTTGAGCACRTTCACCGGGACGACAAGGTTTACATCCGTGTCCGAGTTGCGCAGCTGATTGAGCCTGTTGTTCACCATGAAGAGGTAGTCCCGCACGTCATCAATCCCCGGCTTTAGCCCTTTGCACACAACATACCTGAGGAGCAAGCCCAAAAGAACACATGGCTTCAATCCTGCTACACAGCCAACTTCCATGTCACTCATGACTGTTAGAGCAGCTTTGTTCTCCCGGATCTCAGGATTTTTTGGCCCCTGGGCTCCTCCAGTAAGATGTAGCCTGATCTATCACAAATCTTTATACAACATTTTCTACTCTCTGAAAAGATTGGAAAATACAATCCTATCTGAAATTTAGATCTTCCTAAAATAGTAAATCAAACAGCAAACCAAATCAGGGCAGATGGCTGGGGGAGAGGTACAACAACATATGCTCTAACTCCACTGAAACCTTAATTCCTTTATGCAAAGCAATTTGTGACACATTCAGGTCCATTGCTTTTATCCCAGAAGGACATGAGTTGTCAGGAAAGATCATAATTTTATCAACCACTACCATTTGCTAAGCATCTAAAACGCTTCCTCCTCCAAGACAGCTGCCATATGAGCAAGTTCGCAGTTTCTCCTAAACTTACTCAAATCCATCTATCACTCCACAAAAACAAAACAAAACCATAAAAAAAGGTTTCTTTAGCAATCTCTCCTGCTGTACAGCCTCACCTCTCTGAGTTAGCAGGACGGCTTGTCACAGGTTTAAAGATGCAAATGCGCTCAAAGCAGCAGTAGAGCAGATAAACAAGCCCCACACTGAATGGGGTAAACAGGTCAAAGGTTTTGCAGACAAAATGTCCTCCTGGAGCAAAGAGAGGAAGCACATCAACATCAACGGATTATGAGACAACAGGGATACACCTAGAACCTCTGCAACTTTCTCTCCCTCAGAAACAGCATTTAAAAAAAAAAAAAAAGTTTTTGTACAGTTAAACAGTATTTAAAACACTTTTATAAGGCGAGGCTACATAAGAGGGGCTGCATAAATAGTCTTCTCCAAATTTCTGCAAAGAGAAAAGTTGTTCCCTGACCAGGATCAAATCAGTCTGCTTGCAGACTCAAGACCAACTCTTTCTTGCACCCCATGGAGCCCAAACTGTGCAGCAGGGCAGGGCAAGACGCTATGCAAAAGCCCTGACAAAAGAGCTCTGATCTGCCCAATGGGAAGGTTCAAGACAGAGAGGAAAAAAAAAGAAAAAAAAACACAATTTTATTTAAACAATATAACTTGTCACCTAGAGGGAAGGCAGCTATGCTCCCTGCCTACAAACAAGGCTCACAGTTGCCCTAAGGAAAAAAGAGGGCTGTGCCTACCCAGAGAGAAGACTTACAGAGGGTTCTTCCTTCAATCATATCAACTTTGAAATGCTACTGTTAAACACATCCCTGCTTCAGATGCTTCTGAACACAGCAGAAAGTAAGCAATAACTTGAGATCTTTTTCTTCTTCTGTTCTTGGGCCTCTGTGCCAAATAAACTAAATGCAGCCTTCAAATGAGGAGCCATCAAAACCAGATGCAACTGTTGTGTCCATCATTTGGCAGCAAAAGAGGTACAACTAGGACAGCACAAGACATTTTTTTCAGAACATAGAGATGATAAATGCAAGGGAAAAAAGCCACAAGTTAAAAGGAAGGATGAATTGCATGAACACTGCTGCCTGTTCCAATCAGCCTGCTGAAATACTTATGAAACAGATGGTTTAGCTGAAACCATAAAGCTCAAATTTACTGTCCAGTCATTGTACCAGTGCCCTTAGTCCAAGTCAACTACAAAACATAACAAAAGAGCGTAAAATTAATGCATTTTACCTCATGTTTGTAATTAAAACACATATACAATTTTATGAGTTTTTTTTTTCCTATCTTTGTGACAAGCATCTCAGGATGAATGGGACTTACTTATTCTTGGCAACTCACCCTCAGAGCAGAGTGGACATTATGGCAAGTTATTAAAATTCTGAAGTAACCATCAGCAAGAGCTACTTTTACTTTAAAGAAGGAGAAAGAAGATCCACAGATCAAACATACCTGTTCGGACAACAGACAGCGCTGTAAGGAACTGGCAAAGCATAAGCTGTTTGCTTAGGATTTCTTGCAGATTCTCCTGGCCTTCCACAGAGAAGCCCTGCAATGCACACAGGATGTGATTAGCATCTCAGCAAAGCTGGTCCTCAGGCAAAAGATTCTGTAGAATTGCATCACTGAACGATGGCAATTCCTAGTTGTTTGGAAAGAAAGCATTGCCACCAGGAATTACAATGGCAAGCATTGATAAATCTCACTTCCTAAGTAGGGACTGATGTTAAATTACACATGATACACAGAGGTATCAGTTTGGGTCGTCAGAAGAAAAAGAAGAAAAGAAAAAGAAGAGAAAAGAAAAAGAAAAGAAAAGAAAAAGAAAAAGAAAAAGAAAGGGACCAACCCCATCAGCCATTAAGAAATGCACTCCCTTCCGATCAGTATTGTCCAGAACAAAATTCCGGAAAGCAGNAAAGGGACCAACCCCATCAGCCATTAAGAAATGCACTCCCTTCCGATCAGTATTGTCCAGAACAAAATTCCGGAAAGCAGTGATGTTCTCTGAGCGAGTGACGTCTCCATCTCCATCAATCCCCTCCTCTCCTAAGAGGGAAAGAGGGGGCAGTTACTAACATGTTTGCAGACAAAAGACTGATACATACAGGTGGTCTATTTACAGGCATTTATTTACAGAACTAAACAAAGAAGAATAATAACCATGCTCAAAATAAGTGTTGTACATTAGCCCTGCCAAGTGATAAATCATTCACTGCCCCTCTGAGATGGGATCTGACTCCATTAAAACTTGCTCTCATCCAAGTAGGAATGACACAAAGCTGAATCTACTAAAAATGTAAGAATTAAGGTCATTGCCCAGCTCCCTTGTGAGAAGCACGTTTTACAGGAAAGGTAAAGTGATCTGCATTGTGCACTGGTAATCTTCTATTAAGAATTAGCATAACTCCAAACGAATACATTGAACTATTTCCAAACATAGTGTAATCTGGAATTAGAAAAGCAACAGAAAAACGAAGATAAACCAAAACTGTCCATATGCAAACTAGATTATATAGGGTGCAGAGAAAAGAAAAAAAAAAAAAAAAAGTAGGGTTTTGCCCACGAAAGGAGTATTTCAGTTTTCTGATATGTCTCTAAAATCAGATGTACTAAAACACCCCAGGTTGGCTTTTCAGGAAATTAGTCTAAGTTGTATTCTAGAGCTCAACAATTCTGRCTTTTGAGAAGTCAGAACCTCTAGCTGGTATTACCCCTATAAATCTTCCACAACTACAGCTTCTATTAACTGAACAATTGGATGGCTWGAAAGTAGCAGAGACCAGGATGCATGATAGTGCTTTGAAAACTAAATTCTCATCAATTACCCTGTCACTAAGTAAAGTGAACCCAGAATTTGTTGCCATTCATCACAGCAGAAATATCAATATCAAGTGCGTGTCTCACTAGGCTTTACAGCATAAGAGAGAGAGGATGGGAATCAAGAAAATTCATCAAAGTCAGTGGGCTGTTTGTTTTTGCAGRTATCTCCTGTCTCCTTAAGAGCAGCACTCCACATGCTGCCACAATCAGAACAATGTGTTTATCTGCCTCACTGCACCTGCCATGAGCTTTCTCTTTAATTGATCTAATCCTCAAATGCTGACCCTTCTCTATGGGCTTACAGCCAGGTGTCAGAAGTGGCAGTCACCAAGAGTCCCCACAGTGGTGGGGAAAAATAAAAGCAAAACTAAATCGAAAGGCAAGCTGGCTATCACCTTCTCTGTGAGACAGCCACACTTGCCTTCCCTTTGCACAGTCTGAAAGGGCAAGCAGGCAGATCAGCAACCTGGGTACTCCCCTTCCCACAGACAGGCTACACAGACAGAGGGCTCAAGTACATCAGCAGGTTTTGCTCATCATCTACAAGATGAGATGCAGTAAMTTGGCTGTTTACATGTACTTAGTCTGTCACAAATGCAAGGTAAAATATATTARTTTGAACCTCTTTGGATTAAAAAGTACTTTAACTCACAGAGATTTGATCTTGGCTTCCAGGCTAAATCTGATTTATACAAACGCAATCTGATTTACTACAAATCCAGAATCAATTATCAAAGCAGAGCTAGTCAAGCCTGATACAGAAGCAGCCTGCCAGCCAGGCAAGGCAGGTTTCTATTGAGTTAGCAGAGCAGCAGACTCTGCTAAGAGGTCTTCAGGCAAGTCACCTCACCTGCTACGCTTCAGGTCAAGAGCAGTAAAGTTGGAGCAATATCAGCAAGCAACCTTAAAGCACACTGTAATTTTCAAATAAGCACTCAAATACAAAACATCACATTGCAAAACATTCCTGAGGCAGACTGGAAATAACTGTGGAAACCTGACAGTTTGCAAACTCACTAGTCTCAACCTCTTTCTCAGGTACCAGACCCCTCTATCCCTCAGCAGTTTCCAGGAACAGACTTCTCCTAGATCCCCACACTGCTATCCAAAACAGTCTTATTCCTGATACAGCGGCAGCAGCACAAGCAGAAAGAGGAGGTAACACTCATGTGTGCGCTACATACCATAGTAAGGTTCAAAGAGCTCACTGGAGGCAGAATAAAAATCCTCCAGTTTAAAGTCATTTGGTCCCTTCAAGGTCATGCCAAATCCTTTCGCGTGCCACTTCCGCCGCCACAGGACGTACTCAGAGAAGCCCCCAGGGCCAGCACACACGTCAGCGAAGTAGAGCAGCTCTCGGTCTTGCTCCTTTATCAAGGGCTTCTGCAAAAGGAAACTGAGCACATTCCACTGACCCAGCAAGGGYGCACGTTGGTCAAACCAGATATACCATCAACTGTACCACCTAGACTTTCTCTTYTAAACACTTGCTTTCTCAGCTAATATGCTATGGATTATCCTCTCCACCTCCTCCATTCTCTGAGACAGCACTGCTGTCTGAAAGCTAAACAGAAGTCCTCACCCCTTCGAAATCCTTAGGATTTGTAAACATGTAGTCAAAGACATGGTCCATATTTGCCATCTTCATTGCAGCTCTGTGAACACACGAAAAGGGACCTATTAGGTTTCATTTTTGGTTCCCAACGCTGAAAGTGGGCACAGACAGGAAAGGGGCTACACAACCAAAAGCTCTGCAAACCTGTTCAGGAAGAAGACTCCACGGATCATCTCATAGGGGTTAGACCTCGTCCGGGCTCGTCGCATTTCTTCTCCATCCAGCTCATCAAATACACTCTGCACAAAGAGAAATAAAACTGAGCTGGACTTGCTACAAGGTTGAAAGACAGCTACACATGACCACTTCCTATCCTCACATTTCTCTCATCCTGGACAGCTAACTTCATACTGTGTTTGGTCTACACAAGACATACTCATACAAGGAGTCACACAGTATCTAGCATTCTAAGCTATTCACATACTAACTGAATTCAGCAACACTGAGTTCTGTATTAACAGCTCCACCACCCGACAGCCTGGTTAGCCACCTATGCAGCGGTCACAGCCCAGGAGTCATCTCAGACACATGCACAACCACACTCTGCCTTTCCACTGCACTTCATAGGGACGTGGTCAAATCTAGGAGGGGAGATGGAACGCACAAGAAAGGAAAGGGAGTTTATTTCCTTAGCTCATTCAGGTCTTCAGATTTCCAGCCGAACTGGCTAAAAGAGGGAGACCACTGGTTTCATTCACCTCTTTGAATGCCAAGATGCAAAGGAGATGGCACAATAAATGGTGACAACCAGGATTCTAGGTCATACTGSTGGTATAGAGGTGACAGGATGTCCTGAGCACCTACTGGTCACCTCAGTACATTACTCAATAACCCATTTCACTTGCTTCTCTAAAGCCTAAATTCCTCTCTGGGGAAGGGAGCTCACCTTGCACTGCAGGACATTACGTAAAATCTCTTCACCACAGAACTCAGTTTCATCTTCAATCACCATCTTCCTCTGGAGAAGGATGAGAACACAGAGACAGCAGTCAGCAAACACTGGACCAGTCACTTCAGAATGCAACACGAAACAGTGATGATGAGGCCTGCCAAGCAGAAACTGGGTCGTATTAACAAACAGGCAGCCAGCAGGCTCAGGGACCACCCCCCTCTACTTAGCATCTTGAGATCATATCCATGTGAGTATCACATCCAGTTTAGGATTCCCCAGCACCAGACAGACAGACAGACTGATATACTGGAGTGAGCAAAGCAAAAGGGCCAACAAGATGCTGAGTGGGCAGAGCTTGTCTACTACCTAACGGTAGGAAATACAGAATATAGAGAAGATGAATCTAGACTCTTCTCAGAGCCATAGGACAAAAAGCAATGGACAGAAGCTACAACATAAAATACACTTTTTTTTGATCAAGTTGGTAATCAAACACTGAAACAGATGCCCATACAGGCTGAGAGATCTCCATCTTTGAAGATATACAAAACTCAGTCAAACAATGCCCTGAAGAACCTGATACAGCTGGAGCTGTTTTAAGCAGGAGGTTGCACTAGTAACTSCCAGATGTTCACTCTACACTAAATTATTCTATAATTCTTTGACAAGAAAACCATTCCAGGACAAATGCTCATGCATCTTCTTAGACTGCTAAGCACTGAAATCTAGAAAGTTACCTTCCCCACAGTCATCCACTCCTTCAGCTCCTGGGCATCAGGGATTTCTGTGGTGCATCCTGCACACCAGTCTACCTCCTCATAGGCACTGGGCTGCAAACACAAGACATGAGAAAGGTCAGAGAATTTTTGTTAATAAAATGTAACAACCAAGTGCTTTTAAAAAGCTTGCCACTCTGTCCTACCATAACAAGCTTACACCACAATTTCTGGGCCAACTACAGCTTTCTCTCCTAGCTTGTAACATGTCCTTCCTTTGGGGAAGGAATGAAATAACTTTCCCTTAATCAGAGCTCTACAAATAATTAGGGCATATCTGAAAGCTAATGCCTTAAGGTATGTTTTAGAGATATTGCAAAAGAGATAATTACAGGAGGAAAAAAACAAAAACCAAACAACACAACACACACATCTTGAGGATGCTTTACACATCCTTTCTCCCCAGTTCTTTTTGAARGACTCTCGTAACACAGCTAGCTCAAGCTTCAACAACTTCCATCAGTCTTGACAAGGAATTGTTTCTGCAGTAAAAATTAAAATTACTCCACACAGAAGGGTACTAACAATTACTCACCTTTTCTTAATTATATTCATTAAAGCTATTATAACAGCACATAAGACTTAACTGTGCTGTGAGCTACAGAAACACACCGGAGAATGAGCCCAAACCTGAAGAGCCTACAGAAGAGGTCTCAAAGTCCTGGCTTTCAAGAAATAATATCAGAGGTTATCTGTAACTGCTGAAAATAAAACAATTCAAAGAAAAGTGGTAAAATACTATAATATGCATCATACTTCACTTGATGACCATTACTGTCCTTAGCTTACGAGATTTTCTGGCTTATTCTTCAGAGGACCGCATCTTACAATTCAGTTTTGGTTTTGTTTGTTTTTAAAACAAAACATACCAGCTATTTCACACCGAACAATATCAAAGCTGGGCTTTACTTTTTTGATGATACCCACTGCTATTTCCCAATCTTCCTCCCTGTTGAAGAGCTTGACAAGACAGGGGGGCTACATACAGAATAAAGGGGCTAGTAAACACCAAACCCGAAAAGATACTTAAAAAAACAAATAAACAAAAATCCCACCTACAGAATCACAGAAAACCACTGATATACAAAATAAAAATGGTAAATATAAAACATCTTCATAGCAATCTTCAGTCACATTCACTCCTATAGAGAAACAAACCATAGAGACCACAGCAACAATCTCAGACTGAGTTTGCACTAGAACATTAATACCTATGACCAAAGCCAAGTTTTGATGTGTTTTTCTCAGGCAGAATGAGACCTGGATCTACCCAGCATACCCATTTGATAACAGCCAGTTTTATCAGACAACAGGAAAAAAATTATTCTCACCAGGTGAATCCTGGAAACATCAACAGAAAACTGATTCAAACCAGGACATACTCACCTCAGGCTCATCCTGCCAGTCAATATTCAGCTCCCCATCAAACCCTTTGAGGGTCAGTCCAAAGCCTCTCCTTCCCTTCTGATTGGAAGCCTCAACAATATCCTTTCTGCCTTGGCCGTATTTTCCCAGGCCTTCTCCTTCACGGAAGCCCATCTTGGCCTACAAAGCAAGCAAAGCATGAGACAAAGGGACACKGATTTATGCACTGCTGGGGTCAAACACTAGCAAGGAAAATGATGCATCACACTGAAGTGACTTGAAGGCATTGAACACCGTTAATCCTAGCTGCAGCTTTCAAGACTTGGTATCAAGTTCACTCCAATGAGGCAGGAAGGAAAGAACAAGATCCAGAAAATGATTTTTGAAAAGATAAGACATTACAAAAAGTTTAGTAATGCRGAAACAGAGCCTGCTCAAAAGAAAAGCAGTTAGGAGCCAGGAGGCATTTGTCACCAAGTTCAGTGAGTGTGGATGGCTCATAAAACAGAAGATACTAGCACAGGCGAAAAAATAAATCATAGTCATATTTTTTGCTGTTAAAATGTAGTCATATATGTACACAGACATCTGCAAATGCCAGTTAAAATTTCAGCTAAAACTCAGAGAAGGATTGCAAGACTGATATGGAAAAGCAGTCCTATTTCATTAGCAACTTCTTTTGAAGGCTTTTAACATGAGCATAATGTAACATAACATAAAAACAACCTGAGCGTGAACAGAGTCAACTCCACTTCTTCCAGTATCTATTCACAAGATTGCAAGTAAATAAAAGACCTAGAAAAGGGTCACTTCAAAGAATAAATTATTTTATATGCTGTTTTCTGTAAAGCATCAGTTACATTATTTATTACTAGCCTGTATGAGAAAGGATGCAAAAATATTACTCAGGCTTTGTACAAAGGTACATGGTGTTTTACCGCTGCCTTTGTTATCTGGTTCTGGATTTTCTGAGTTATCACACCTTGAAATACGTACATCAAGTGTGACGGCCACTGAGCCTGTTGCACATAYCTTTCTGAGAACAGAATTATAAACATCATCTCCTTACCTACTGCTACTGAGCAATTCAGCTACAGTTCAGAACATATTCAAGTCTACAAGGCTATACAAGCAAAAGCCTTCTGACCTCAGCTATGCAGAGTCCCCGGAGCAGAGGTGACTGAGTACAGAGGATCACCTTAACCATTAGCAACTTGGCATCTGGATCATGCAGAGTTTTAAAATCATCCACAGCTGAAAGTTCCTGTATTGCAAAGGTAGGCTCCTGCTCATCGGCAACAGCTCAACTCTCTGAAAATCACTCAATTCCCATAAACAGTACTACAAAGAGCAACACCTGTGGAAATCTAACCATGAAAGGACATTCCACATTGAATCAAACTAGGAATCTTTCCAGATCAACAGCTGCTTTGCAAGGCAACTTAGGAGCAAAGCATCACACTTACCATCCTAACAGCCACCATATAGTTAATTTGCCAAGTCTTCCATATGACATAGGAYTACCTGTGCACATGCAAGTCAAGCTTCACACGACACCAGATGCCCCAGTTAATCCTGTTTCACTTTAGAAAAAATCTTTGTCCTCAAACTTTTTGTTTCAACATATTTGATTCAGTCATGTTGATCCTCAAAAGCAAGGACAAGGGCAAGGAAGGGTATGGAGCTATTAAAGGTTACATTATTAAATACCAGTCTTTGGAGGCAAATCTAAAATTACTGCGAGGTCAAGCACACAGTTACTACACTGGAGGCTTCTAAGATCTCCTTCCAAAAAAGACTCCCATTTGGAAGAAGCACTACAAGCTTCACAAGCCAGAACTTCATTAACAATTTTACAGCAGGGCAAAACACAAGCAGAGCGACAGCTCCTCAAGTTAAGAGCTGCATTTACACCAATCTCAGAATTAGTGGAAACAGGAGTCTTCTGCAGTTCTAGAGRCCTGGGGCTAGCAGGAGTAAGCTTCTGCACAGAGGGCATGTGCAGTGAAAGGAAGCCTAGGATTCGAATGGCAAACACGATTATGAGCACAGAGGTCTCCCTGATGAGAAAGAAAGGTTAAATTCACTGTAGTTTCAGGCTTGTAATTAACAATGTATAAATTTGCCTTGCTGCAGCCAGAATTACTAATGAAAGACATTATGGGTATAAAAAACTCTTAGGAAAACTCTTAGACTTAGGAAAAAAMTCTTAAACTTAGGAAAAATCTCTTAAAAGACACTTATTTTTCTTCTCTTCATTTTTCCCTCATGTACTCATGTGCCTTGGTGTAAYAGTGTCACACAAAATTATTTTGACCTACCATGAGCTTCTGAGAGACACTGTTATACATAGAGTAGCGGGATGAAGTACCCTCCACGAGAGAGTCTTGCTTGAACTCATTGCTGAAGACTGGTCTTTTTTCATCGCTCTCACTATCAGACCCACTGCTGCTACTGGAAGACTCTGAAAACAAAAAGAGTGGGAAAAGTGAATATGAAAATAAAAACAGAAGCAAGGTATCTCAGTAACAACATCAAGAACTTTAAAGTGCGACTTATTTACGCTGCTGAATGGTTAACACTGCTTTCTCTCAGGGATATGTAGGATTTCTCTCCGCCAGTAACAAGCACTTTGGACACTGGAGTTTCAAACACTCCAGAAGGCTGGCAAACACCATTACAGCAGCAGCAAAGGCCACAGCACAATCATCGTGGCACATTAGTTTGCCTGACCTTTCAAACAATCCCATGCAGCTGAGAAAATCCATGAAGATGCCCTCCTGAGCATAATAACAATCGCCAATGCCTTATTTAAGTCATACTGTATTCTCCTAATTTCCCTACTCATCTACAGGCGTGAGCATATTCATAACTACAGATTCACATTAGACAACATGGACATGCACCAAAAGACCAGTACTGCAGAAGGAAGAGAAGACTGAGTTCCTTTCAGTCCCCATAATAAACCTCACTTTGACTCAGTTACCCACTTTAACAGTGTGATCCACAAGTTCTCTATGGAAAATGAGACAGTTTTTCACCTTCAAAGAGGTTTACTGATGCATTTAAATCCTAGGGAAAGGTAAGGTCAAAAGACAGAAGTTTTGCACATCCATTGCTTGCCCTATACGTCTTTCAAGCAAAGGTACAACCTACATACAGTGTAAAAGGATACAGAGTAGMACATAGGCAATTTCTCACTAACCTTGTGGATCTACCAGTACATTAAGCTGGTGTTTCYCAAATGCATCCAGCTATCCCCAACATGCCTTTTGGGAAGCTACACATTTTGCCAAACTCTTAACTAAAAATAGTAACATGGAGCTGCTACAGACCACTAATGATCTGAGAGCCATAGTTTAGAAATACTAAGTAAATAACACTTCTTTGCTGTACTTTGCCGCATTCTAGAACAAAACCATGCTATTAAGATTTCCCCRGGTCACTCCAAAAGAGCTAACCTTAAAGCTTCTAGTTTCCTTCTATCACAACAGCAGGTCAGCATGCATGTTATTCTTTACCCTGCATGTGTACTKAGAATTCGGGAAGTTATTTTGGATTTTCGCTGAAGATTGCTTCATTAGTGCAGATGAGAAACTATTACGGATTTGGGAGAAAGCGAACAGTTCCAGAGAAAAAGATATAACACATCAATGAAAGAAAGCTGAAGTCTTTCTTTTATCATAGTAATAGCTCACAGGCTGTCTTCTTGCTTTGAATATGAAACATCAGTTGAATAGAAAAATAAAGGCATATATGACAGATTTTACAGAAGACAAGTTAGCATACTAATTTTTGACTGTTACAGACAAATGGTGACTTATTCAAGCAGGCTGAATACTCACTTAGTTTAAAAACTTTGAGGGAGAAGTTGGCCAAGTCAATGGTCTTACCCATGTAAAAATGTAGTATCATGTCCAGCAGACATTCTAAATAAGTTTGATTGAAGTCACAGGCATGTAACAGTGAACTGTCTGACCGGGGGTTGTACCCAGGCCCAGCTCTACTGTGAGATCTAGAGGAAGAACCTGGGCCTGTACAAGCTGTACAACCACCCCAATTGCTCTATGGTTGTGAGATGCCCAAACCCATTGCCCTGTGCTGGATGCGACTGGGAATTAGCTGTTAAGCAAATCATCTGACTCACAGCCTGCTTCATACCAAGTGCGAAGGGACTTCCCTACAGCCCACTCAGTCCTTCCCCTTTCCTTGGCGTAAAGTCAGCATAATAAGAAAGGAGTAGCACRATTTTCCTCCCTGAACATTGTCTAGCACCACAGCAGTCACACTAATCTCATACTGCCAAGCAGTCCATAGAGACTATCAGAGCATCACTCTGCTACAAGCTCTGCCACACTCTGCAAGAGACCTTCATCTCTTGGGACTCCCCTGTTTGATAAGCATTAGAAACCATTCTGTGCTACTTCATGCAGCTAGGAGAGAGTGAGCTACACACGCTTCCTTGAGACACTGCAGAAAATCGCTCTTAGCAGAGTGCCCTTTTATTTCATTTATCACTTAAGAAAGAAAACGGAAAAGCTGCTTAGAAGTATTAAGAGACACAATTACCAGCAAAGGAGGACTGAGGTTTTTTTTTTTTCCCCAATTCCAGCAAAAACAGATTAAAAAAAAAAAAAAAAAAAAAAGAAGAAAATAAATATTGGTTTGGGTTTTTTAGCCCAGCCCTGAGTGCACACAGCATTCCCTAAGAACTCTCAACCCTACACTCCTAACTTCCCCATTCAGCTCCAGTCTTGCCCCACACAAGCATGATAGACCTCTCTCTGTCACTGCACCTACTTCCAGCCCAACTGCCCTACTCATTCTCCCTACCCATCCCACTCTCATTTTCACAAGATCCTGGGCCTAGAACCCATCTCACTAATACTCTATTACCAGGGGAAAACCCCCCGAGTCAGAAGTAACAGGCATGAGTGTGAGGCGGCATGAGGTGCCATACTGGGAGTGCTTACAGCACCCTAAAATAGGGATGGGGACTGTGCAGGGTGCTCTTCCTACCTCAGGTATATCCCAAAGCCCAGGTAAGAAAGCACACTCACCTTGAGAAAAGCACAAAACTGTCAGAATTCTGATTCTAAACCATTTTTGTGAAATGAAACACCCGTGAGCACTCACAGTTCTTAYAGAAAGCTTACACTGAATTAGCAAAAGATTGTGTTACAACCTAGGAATCCCAATAAACTCTTCTTTTCATACACAACTTGTTTTGTCCTATTTGCAAAAGCTGGAATAATATTTCTGAATTGTTCTTAAAAAGGGAGATCGTGATGTTTTGTTACTGCATACAACTACTCACAAATGAAAGCTTCCAAAACAAAACAAAACAAAAAAAAAATYCAACAAGCTGATAAGATCAATGCTGCTAACTTATAATCGGGATCTCTACAGGTATGAGACTGTGGTTTTGGTCATCTATTCCGAGGCTTTATTTTTTATGTCTGAATTTATATAATTTCTAGATTAAAGTGTCTGCACAAGACTTTAGAGGGGAAAAAAAGAGTTTGGAAAAAAATTAAAAGCTTAAACATCTCAAGTTTGTGAACAAGAAAAATGCACTTTTTCTCCCAAAGAAAAAGCATGCCCTGGAAGCTCAGGCCCTTAATTAGGGTTTATGTTCAACTCCTAGCTATTATTTAGATCCCCTGCAGTGATACGCACACTCCCTCCAACCTTACCTTGAGTCATATGATGGCTAAGTTGAGTTTCATCATCCGAGGTAGAACTGAGGGTTAATCCCAAATCTTCTATCCTCTTCTTCTGCTTCTTTTGTGGGCTGCTGAACTCTGGCTCTGCCCTTCGCTTCATTTTTACTGAAAGGGAGGGAAAAAAAGCACACTTGGTAAGCATTAAGCAAGCTGAATTTCTCCAGCTTGCTGAACTGTATGGTGCAATTCTCATACCAGCAGCACCATGGCATACATAACTTTATGGACTGCTCAGTGATATGGGTCTCAAGTTTCCCTTAGGTAAATTGTTCTTTTGAAATCATCTACTTCACAGATGGTCTAGCTAACTAAACAGAAAACGATGTGGAAGCTTCCCTAGTGCCATGACTTGAATTCAGGATCACTTCTACAACCTGCTCACCACTAAATGCTAGCAGTTTGCAAGAACCAAGGCTGCAAAATTTAACTATACCATAGCCAGTCATTATTACTGAATTAAGGCTCACTTCATCCAAACACACACACACAAAAAGGAGCAAGATCAATCTAACGGGGAACATGTAAGGTGTAATCCATTTCTGACAAATGGATTGCAAGAATTCTGACCTCACTCATGCAAATAGTAATCATAAAATACCCTTTTCTACATTAATTCTACAGCAGAACTTTACCAAATACAAAGACTCAAGGGTCTCGGGTTTCTTTTTGTTTGGTGTTTCCTACTTATTTGCTTGTTTCTACCATCTGACATCACTGGCAAGACATCAAGCCCCTGGATGTGCCAGATAAACTTTGCCTAACTCAGGGAAAGGAGTAACACTCAAGGCCGAGTTAGCAGGACCTATGTGAAAAGGCAAAAAAAACGGGAGAATAAGAGAAAATTAAAAAAAAAAAATCAATCACCGCAGCACTAACTAAGCTTCCTTGCTACAGGTGACAAGAGATGAAAAAATTGGTTGACATTTATATTCTACATGGGAACGAGGGGCTGGAAGAAGGGTGCCGGGCCCCCAGCCCTGGCRCTGCCGCCTGTGCTGCGGCCAGGACCTCGCAGCGCCCCGTTCCAACGGCCGCTCCCTCGCCACGAGTGGCAGTTAACGGTCACCGCGCGCCGCGGCGCGCGCGCGCTCGCCCCGTGCACGCGCAGCCCGCAGGGTGCCCGGGGGGGGGGCGGAGCCCCGTCTCCCCGCGGAGAGGCCGCCGCCCGGCCTCTTGCGCCCCCGC